GGTGAAAAATGCCATTCCTAAAAACCTCAGATATTCATAGGTTGAAGTGAGAGTTATCACTCAATCAAGATTTTAATGGTCAATGGCAATGGAAGTACTTCAGAGATCAACTGTGCTCTTCTTTCCTCCACTGCGAGGGCAGGCATAGGCAACACGGGTCAGGAGTCAGAGATGATTGTTTAGTGGTACCCGCAGTGGATCGAACAAACTCTTGGTAGAAGAGATTAGAAAGGTTGAATTCAGTAAGTTAACAGATGCTAAGAAAGATTTTTAAGGTTTTAAGAAAACCATGCAGACAGCTTGGGTAACAAAGTCTGGCAAGGGATTGGAAATCCATGCCAGATAGGATGCAACTCCTTAGATTTTGCTTTAAAACTGTTTAAGGTATCTAATGTATTCTTTCAAAAACAACATCCGAGACCTCAGTGTCTTAAGCTTTCTGAACTGAGTCAACTCCCAGGTACAGTGAGAAGAAAGCCTGCACATCTGTCATCTGACAAGGCTTGGAAGCTGGGGTTTGTTATTCGTTCTGTCGTGAGTCTGAATAGCAGAATTTCTAGTTGCCTCTATTTCAATTTTAATGAAAAAAGAATGTAAGGTGTTTTTCTCCTCTTTAAATATTTACTGGCACTAACAGTATTAAGACAGCTTGCAAGGCTCTTTAGGTTCCATATTACTCAACTCTGTTTACAGATACATGGTGAAATACTGCAAGGTTCCTTTCCCAACCTTAAATATTGCTAAAACATAGCTCCCTCCATTCCCTGCTCAGTTTATTCTCATGTAAATTAGCACACAGCACCACAAAAGCACAGATAATTCAGATACTGCTTTATCTGAAGATAAATAAAGAGACTATGGTATCAGAAGACTGGGATACCAGAGACTGGGATACCAGGTTGGGAAGAGTTGCAAGAAATCTTCAAGTCCCGCAAGCAGAGATACTCATCTTCTTGCCCCGTTAGGAGCGTTTTTTGCAACATGAGTTGTAGAGAGAGGAAAAAGCCACAGCTTGAAAATTCTAGCCACATCTGTAACCACTTTTCCCCAGGGAAAGGAAACCAGAACACTTGCAGTGTTCCTGGGCTCTGGGTAACTGAACAACTGAAAGAAATACTCTGAGGCTGCCAGTTCAGTTCAGTCTCTCTCTCAGTAGACATGAAAAGTGGCCTGGGTAGCATTTACAACATCCAGCTGGGTGTTTGCTTCTCCTGTTAAGCAGTAAAACAAAGGGATTTTGCAATAAGGCTTACAGATCATTATAAATATAGTAAGATCTGTTAAGAATCAGTTGTTTTGCACAGTGGTTCCTTTACACTTAACATTTGGGGATTATAGTGTGAAAAGGACTCCAGAAAAAGAAAAAAGCCGGTGCTACCTGGTAACAACCCAGAGGCTTGTATTCCATCTCTTCACATTTAGGGTCTCAGGTTTCAGTCTGTAAAAAAGACCCAGGTTTTATAAATCCTTACATATGTTATGTAATTGTTTCAGATTTATAAAGTTTTTTAATCCTAATCTAGTTTCCTAATCCTAATTCCTAAGAATTATTCTTCAGCCATCCCATCAGTTTCTGCAGCATATTAAAGGATTAAAAGGAAGTCATCACAAATCATTGAGAGGTTACTAAAAGAGGCAATAATTACCAGTCTTGGATTTAAGGATTTGCATGGATTTGCTGGACCACCTTCAAGCATTTAAATACTTACTTTTTCCTGATATTAAAATGGATTTTGCCAAGTTCAAGTCCAGACCTCAGCACTGGTGTTGAAAGTTTTAACTACTTAGTAAGATTATAGAGGCACTTCTCTCCAAGGTTATTAGTCTGATTCCAACCAGGGCTGGATCACCAGGAATCCATGCTTTTTAAACCCAAAAGCACATTGGCAGAGCCACAGAGCAAAGTGACTGGCTCCTCCTCCAGCTGCAGCCAGGGAAGGCCACGGAGCTCCCTTGCCCACCCTGTGGTACATCAAGCCAGAGAGCACGTCCTCCCAAGCTGCCGCTTCTGTCAGCACTCACCCTTTTTATTCAGGTTTCAGTCTTGAAGGTGGGAAGCTCACTGATCCAAGCGTGGAACTCGGTAGTATGGGCTCCCCGGATACCCCCAGCGCTGTTAAAAACATTCCAGAATGATGCACATGCAACAGCTGTGCACAGTACATGCTATACAGCCGTCCTGTGTAGTGTTCACTGTTGCTTACAATCTTTCTACAGGCTTATCCTCTCACCCAGTTACTACATGATTAACAGAAAGGTCACCACAAACAGCGGTTTTTATGCAATGAAGAAGCTGAGCTACCAGAACAACATTCTGTAAACTAGAACATAAACAGAGTACGCTATTCTGGATTACTGCAGTAGTTGCTGCCTTTAAATGGACATAATCTCTGGGCAACACAGGAAGGCCGATTCTTCTCAAAACCAGAATTATTGGGTTGAATAATCTGTAAGCGTTACCTCGTGCTCCTTTTTAGTCATCTCCATTATAGCTTCAGTAACAGCTTTGGGATCTTTAGTGCCTTTTGGGCAGATACTAAAAGGAGCAAAACTTTGAAGTAATTAATTTTTAAGTATTAACTTTTTTTAACCAAACATTTATTAATTCTTTAGCCTGGTAGATAAGTCAGTTTTAAACAAGAAAATATACAACCAGGAATAGACCCAAGACAACCAACTATAACCAAGATCCAAGTTTAAAAAATGTGTATTTCTAGCTCTGATTGTTCCCAATATATTATTATTGTTGAGATATCCAAGTGTGGAAAAGCAATAAAGACTAACAGGAGGAAATACGAAGCAGGAGACACAGAGGTCAAGGTTTTGTTAAGAAATTACAAGAAAAACCTTTTTGATTACATTCTTGGTGGGGGGGGGAGGGTGGAGAGACAGACTGACTTTTTGTTAGTTGGAGCAACCTGGCCTAGTGGAAGGTGTTCCTGTCCATGGCAGGGGGTTGGAACTGGATGATGTTTAAGGTCCCTTCCAACCCAAACCATTCTATGAGTCTATGATTCTAATAGCATCCAGTATTTATGCTACTACACTTCTCTAGAAGTAACAGCTCAGCCTAGGAGATTAATACTCATTTGGCATTTTCTCCTGCAGAACACTTAACCTGAGAACTTAAAAACATGTAAAATGTCCCACAAGTCAGAGTACACAGAAAGCTGAGCAGAGCTGGTTGTCCTCATCCTTGAAGTCCATTCGACTTGGTGTTGTCAGGATAAAAATGGTTTATATTGTTCCAACACACTTCTTCAGTGGTCCAGCCAAGGCTCACTGCTCTCTCTCGGTGAAAATCCAAGAGACTGCTTGGATGAAGGTTGTGACAGTAACAGTGCCTATTCATCTGTACAGAACGAGGAGGATTTCTTCTGGAAAGACTGAGGTTCCAGGATCACTTTCCAGAAATGACCAGCCCTCCACTGAGGTATGAACACCTTCTCTTTAAATATAAACCCCTCACCAGCCACAGACAGCAGCATTTGTTTCACAGAAACAAGCAACCTTCTGTTCCTTGACCTCTCATTAAGAAAGAGGTCTGTGGCCACAGTAGCATGTTCTTTAAACAAATCACGTTCCAGTTTTGGAGTAAGACCATATTCTAGTAATAGTCCAAATTATCACTTAACAAGGCACAATTACTGTCCTACCCGTACTGCCAGGTAGTAATGGAAGGATTTTCTTTGTTCTGTTTTGGTTTTAAATAGGAACAACCAAATACATGCAAATTGCAATCTACAGGCTCACTATGTAAATTCTTATGATGAGATAGATGAGACACAAATCACACAACTCTGAATTCCTAAATGGAACATTAATAGTTTGTAGTAAGACAGATCTTTAGCTCTTTAAAAGTTCACAAAACTTTACTTAAAAATAATGCAACTTCATGCAGTGAAAAAGTTTTCTTCCTCAAGAGGTGAGTAGCAATGAAATGGAAGAAAGACATGATTTCTGACTGACGTAAGAAAACAATGGTGTTCAACAGCCCTGTTTCCTGTATTTGCCTGTGTTCCATATCCAAAACATTAACTTTTATACTTCCATCATCCACACACACAGTGGATGTATGTAGATTAGTCTCTACTCCCCTGACGATGTTTCAAGGAGTGCCCATGCTATAAACTGCCCTGTGGCTACAGGCACCACACCCTGAGATAACACGTCATCTTGAAGTCGAACAGAAGGTAGCGCAGATAATAAATCTCATCTTTTCTCAGCTCCTCTGGATCAACAAAACCCGAACGTTTCACTAACAAATATGCCGTTGTTACCATTTTAATTAACAGGCATGCTACTTGGCATTCAAAATCAGATCTTCCATGAGCTTATGAGGAAATGGGTCTGCTTAGCCTTTGTATTCAGACGCCGTGAATCTCAAGACAGGCCAGTATGGATTTTGCGTGCTGCCTGCACGCCCAGCTGAGGCACACGTCACTGCCACACTGCCCCTCACTTGAAAGACTCAGCGAGAACAAAGTACAGCAGTCACCATCTCCCCCAAGCCATCCAGTTCTGCTCACAAACATACTGCAATAGGAACAACGAGCACAGGCACAATTGGTGAAGAAAGTGGTACTTAAAAGGAAGCCTAAAGGAACAATGGTGTAACTGACATTTAAAATGCTTTTAAATTTAAGTAGCTCACCTTCACTTTAGAATGAAAATGCTGCAAAGCCTTTGTGAAGTAGATTTTATGAATTCCAGCAATTCAACAAAAGAGACTTTGTCATTAATGCTCAGTAGATACAAATAAATTATTCATTAGTAGAACCACATTTGGGTTTTATTATACACCGTAAAATATACAGGAATCTTGAAGTACTGAAAGAGTGCAGGTAAATACAGTATTCAAGCAGTCACTATTTCTATGTACATGCTCATTAATTCTTCAAAAACCCCTCAAAATTATCAAATAGATCAAAATATTGTCCCGTGTTTCCACACTATGTTCAGAAAACCAGCTGATAATTTACAATATCATAAAGATTTCCAGTTTCACAATACAAAAAGGATAAAAAGGAAATTGGAATCAGTTTGTAGTAATTTATTTGTACTTTACCAAGACATGCAAGGATTCCTTGCATGTACATAAACAAAGTCACTTGAAAAGTAACAGTTATAGTTAAAGCAGAGCCATATAAAGTAAATATTCATATTTAACAGACAAAACTTCAGCTTACTTATGTCATTTTTTTCATTCTTCAGGCAATTAAAAACCCCACAGTAGTCTGTTATAAATTAAAAAAAATAAAGACATCCGGGCAGTCTGAACTACCTTACTGGGACCTGTTTCTGCTGTCTGCTTTCTAAACGGAGCACAACAAAGATACACAGCTCTTCCCACAGACCAGACACGGTACTTTGTTCTCTAATAGGGAAATATACTTTTAAATTCACCTCCCCCACCCCTGTAACTCCAGGATAAGGAAAAAAAAAAGTGATAGGGATACAAAGTTTTAATGTTACACACAAATGTATGATGTGAGGATTGGACAAATCATTGAAAAGAACTCTCAGTCACAGCAGGGTTATTAAGACATTTCAATTCTTTTATGTAGGTTCATAATTTCCAGGTTACTTTTGTATTTTTAAATTAAAAGGGAAAAATCTCAATCCAAACCCCAGAAATAAAAAAAAAAAAAAGATGTCTAAAACTGTGCAACAGTAACCGCTCCCCTCCCACAGCTCCCACCCTTCCCCTTGTTTATTACACTGTACACGTTTCACCCTGACTTCACCTTGTTAGCTGGTTTAAATTTAGTATTATAAAAGTATGACAAGTTCGTTTTCATTTCACCTAAAAGAGAAAGAAAATAAAACTTAAAAGCACACCTGCTTTCTTTCATGGTACATTTAATAGTGTCGGAAGGCTTTCAGATGATTAAAAAAAAATAAACCAACATTTGAAACCAAATCTAAGCTTCTTTTCCAGAAGTAATTAAGGTTTGGTTGAAACAACTTCTCAAATAACCTATTCCAGTTTTCACAAAAACTTAATTAATTAAAAACAAACAAAAAAAAATAATCTTTAAGTTATTTGGTCCTTTGGCAATTTGCAGCACAAACAATGCCTCCTGTACCAAACTCATTTATTGCCTTCAAAACGGTTTTAGTTTCATTTATAATATCTAAATCTAGCATCCTTTGCGTTGTACAATAGTGTCGTTCATTTACATCAAGTAGGGTGCCCAGTCTGCAGAAATTACTCCCGGCACCAGAAACAGAATGGTAGAATACAGATAAATAAAACAGTTGGACATTCTTTTTTTTTTTTTGCCATGGATTCCAAGTACTTATTCAAGAATTTATGCTTCTTCTGCAAAATAAGCTCTTAAAAATCCTCCTAGAGTCTCACGGATTTTAATTTTTTAATATGCAACCACATAAAAAACATCTTCTCCGAGGTCTGTCCTCGTTTTGTGTTCAGACGCTGGTAGCTTTATGACAGCACAAGTCTGACCTTCCAGCGTGAGGTGCGCTCTTCAGACCTACAAAACGCAGCTTCTAATAGGTCTCAGAATCTGAGTCATTGAGTTCGTCTTCTTCTGTGTACGGGTAGCCACCTTCCCTGCCAATGTTGTTGAAAGTACAGTAGGAGCTATGGTCACTCCTCATAATGGGCAAGGAATCGAAGGTGACAGTTTTTGAGGTGTTGGTGTAATGATTAATGGCATTGAACGTAAGGGAAGGTAATGTGCTGCTCGATGAAACAGGCATCATCGTGGCCAGAATGAGCGCAAGGCAGTCAGCCACATCCTTATTGGGCGCACAGGCCAAAGCTGGTGTGTAACCTAGAAAGTCAAGAGAGAACAAAACCTTCATTTAAAATGAAGACAATGTAAAAATTTCCCCAAGATCATGTCATCTTTCAGCTGCAAAAGTATTTCCTATCGCTTAGTTCCGCACTGCTTTTTTGAAAAAGTAAGTCAAAACACAACCACCATAAAATTAAACGCATTATCAATCAGAATTTTTTAACTTTTGGTTACAAAACCAACCCAGGAGTTAGTGGGCTTTGGAATAGAGATGTAAGTCTTCTGTTAAGCACAGTCAGACACTCCAGGCCAGCTAGAAAAGCCTGGCTATGAAAATAGTGAGGCAGCCAGGAAAGGCAGCTACAGGCAACCAGGAGTGATGGGTGAAGGCATTTCACTAGAGAGCCACTGCAGGAACTACAGCTCAACATGTCAGGGATTTCTTCATCCAGAAGCTTCCATATTCACCACAGACAGTCACCTTAATAAGACATCCTATCTCAGTAACAAGCTGGATAAAGCATGAGGGCCAGTCAACCGAAGGGGAGAGTGCTCAATTTCACTCAGCCTATACTTTGTTACAACATATAGTAATATAAACTAAAAAGCCAAGGTCTAACTTTTATTTGAGGGGTATCACTTAAGAAATCCACAGAAGTCTGAGGAAACACCAGCTGGATTAGCAGGCTACGACTTGCAGAGAGAAACTACTTGATGGTCCAACTGGTGTGGCCAAACTGCTGCCAGGCAATGCTACTGTGACAAGCCCCATATGCAGGGGGGCTCCAGCTGTGGAATGATTTGCAGCCAGCTTACATAGCTGTGAAGTCTCTTCTGGGTAACTGTGGTGAGGCACTGGAACAGGTTGCCCAAGAAGCTGTGAACGCTCCATCCCTGGCAGCGTTCAAGGCCAGCTTGAATGGAGTCTTGGGTGACATGGTTTAGTGTGAGGTGTCCCTGCCCATGGCAGAGGGGTTGGAACTAGATGATCTTAAGGTCCTTTCCAACCCAAACCATTCTATGACTTCTGTGATTCTAAGTACAACCACAGATAACAGCCGATTCTGCTCTCAAGACCCACACAGAAGAGGTGGCCAGATCACCTTGTAGCACCCTTGCTGTACCTATCACCACACGTGATAGATATGTCCACATTGAACTGAACAGGAAGACTCACATTCAGGTACATTTGGGAGTCAAGTCCTGCACCACCCTCCGTCCACCACTTTGAGGTGTAAAACATCAAGGTAAAAGGCACACAGGTAATTTAAAATAATGAATGGCTTTAAAGCAAACCGCACGATGGATTTCTATCCTGACCTTAGGAAGGCATGGCAGTGCCCATTCTACCACAAGCATTTCAACTGCTAAGGAAGCATCTTTATTGTAGAAGTAAATCCAGGTCAAGTTTTAGGACAGAGCTCATGAGTAGTTATTGTGTCATACAACCGCACAGAAGTTTTAAACAAGTAGGCACATTATGGAATATAACTGTAGATACAAATTGAGAAAATGGCAAGCAGGGACAACCTTGCAGTTGATTATTTGCTCAGGACAGACCTTGTGCTTGATGCTTGGAACAGAGTAAGAAACAGTCCCTGCCCAGAGGAGCATACAATCCAAGGAAACACACGGGTAAGTCAAGCACAAAACGCACCAGCTGACCATGCGATAGGGCCGTACAGAAGTGCAGCGCAGCAGATGTTTTCATTGTTAGTAAGGTATCACAGCACTTAAACAGCTCAGCTAACAGTCTGTAGAAGAGATACATTTTGAGAGGATTCAAAAGCAAGGGCCAGAGCTCGCTACATGTGGGTGAAAACTGCATTTCAGGCACGTAAGGCAGAACAGAAGGCTCAGAATTCATACTTAAATGCACACAAATCAATATCTACAGTTGCTGGAGGTTGTATGAAGGTAGGATGACACACAAAGTTTATTCAGGCTGGCCATATTCAACACCATTTCTTTCACTAATGTCATTTGAAAGAAGCTCAAAGAAAAAAAATTAGCAGTTATCTGGTACTTTTTTGGTTTCTTTGGTTTGGTCCCACTCCGGTCTGGGTCGTGTCATCCCCCTCCCCTTTTTTTTAACAGACTGCTTCTTGCTAAGATCTTGAACTCACAGTTCTGTTCCTTGTGGAACAGAGCATCCCAGTTCATCATAAAAAACAAAAAAGGCCAACGTAAAGACTAAACAGATTACTTGTTTCTGTTAAAAGTTCTCCAAAACCAGTGTTCATACTAATATTTGATGGTAGGTCTTAAGCTCCTGGCTTTCGTAAGTAGGAATGAAATATCACAGTTTTATTCTTGTCTTAGACACAGCCAAGTGAAGTAACTGCTTGCACCATGAAAGACTGACATCTGCGTCCTCCACCACTTTATTTTTGTCTATGTTATTTTAAAATTATAAGAACAAATTATATTTTTATGTCTTCTAACTGCGAAGTGATTATTTATATGTCGGGACAACAGTTACAAATACTTTCAATTTTCCTTTAAGAAGATGTTGGTAAAGGTACAAACTCCACTGAAATACCCTTCCTCAGTTCTCATACAATGTTCCCCACAATCTGTACTTGTAGATGGGGCAATAGAAGCAGAGCAAGGTGAAGCACCTTCCTCCCACAACAGAAAACAGAGCCTGTGTGATGGATGCTGCCTTAAGAGCAGGGCTCCCCCCTGCAAATGCAGAGCTGCTCCCTCCCTGGGGCCTGAAAGATTCCATGAAGGTGCCTGCAGGAAAATCAGAGGGTTATTAATGTGGTCAGTGCAAAGACAGCTCTGGAGATAAACTGAATGAAGCCTTACACTTGGGAAAGAGAAGAATGTCATCCGAGGCATGAGTCATCTAGTAAGCATTCACAAGAAAAATTCTTTCCAGAAAACTGGAGATTCCAATATAAACCAGAATACAAGTAAAGGAAGGACTGGAAAAGAACTAAGGGGAAAAAATAATAACAATTTCTCCCCTTTTTTCTTAAAAAAGCTTGAAAGGCCAATGATCACCATAATGATGAATCTAGAAAATAAGAGAAACCTCCATGCTATGTCAGTCTCTGGAGATAGAGAGAATGCCTCCTCTCACTGCTGTGGTGCACATTAATATGACAAACCAAAGACAGCTGTAGCAGGAAATGCAGCTAGCCTAGTAAGTTACATAGTGAGGGAAAAACCCAAAACAAATGTAAAATTAAGAAGTTGGCTAAGTGATCAAAAAACCCAGCACCTTCAGATGGTATCAAAGAAAAAGCCAGTAATCTCTTTTAAGACAAATACACTCGCATAAATAATTGAAACAATGCTATTTTTGTAGATGTGGGTGATGGCAGAATTCCATCATGACAGTTGTGGAAATATGGGCAAAGAACTCAAAGATCTGAGTGAGAACTGATACTGATGTCACCCCCCAACCTTAATAACAACAACATTATTATTACTACTATTATTATTATTATTATAATCATTATAATATCATAGTTTTTCCAAGGCAGGTATACCAAGAGCCCATCAGCACCCTTCTGGGTCCTTGAAATGCCTTCTCCTGTGACAGTCTATACCGAGGATGCATGGAGCCCCTGGACCAGTCACAACGCGGTGCTTTTGCCACTTCCTCCCAGTCAGGCTGATTTCAGCCTCCAGTACAGTCAACTCTTGGGATTCTCCTGTCACTCCAGAACCATGAATGGGTTCCACCCCTTGATACCTTGATGGCATCAGGGTACACTGTGCATTGGTATCTATCAGAGCCTTATACTCCTGTGGGACTGATGTGCCAGGCCATCTGATCCACACAGTCCAATAAACCCGATTGTCCCTCCCCTCCACCTGGCTGGAGGCAGGGCCCCTCTAGTCCTGGTCACAGCATTTTCCATTTACTTCTTGTGAAAATTAGAAATTCTTTCCATAGGATCAGGAGTAAGATCAGCCCTTCTGCCCCCTCTGGGAAACTGCCCACTGGAGCAGCAATTTTCCTGGAAGAAGCCTCTTTTATAACTGCTTTTCCTTGCAACTCACATACCCATGTCTCTAGAGTTAAGGCTGATTTTCCATCCCACTTCCTCATGTCTCCTCTGTGGTCATGCAGGTAAAATCACAGGGTACCCCACGGTCTGTACCTTCTATATCCTCTTAAGAAAGAGAAAGTTTCTACATCCTCTTAAGAATAGCTAAAATATTCAGAAGTGTTTATTTCTTCAGTCTGCTTTGCTAAGTTTTCACCACTAATCATATTCTTAAGCCTTTCCACTACAATAAAAGTTTCTCCTATATTTTTACTTCATTAGAATTAAATAAATTAATGTAACTTTTTTATTGTTTTTTTGTTTTTAGAAACACTTACACTCCAGTGCTAAACTCCAAGACAGGTAAACCTAAAACAGAACCTGGCTATCACTACTGCCAGCTTTTCCATTTAATGTAAAAGGTACAACTATGGAAAAATCAAGAAGACATTTGCAGGAGGTTTTGCAAGCCTGCTGGCATAATAATACTGACAAGAATTAGGAAATAAAATTAAGAGACAAGTGAAATATATTGGTAAATCCCATGAACGTTTCCTCACAACTCCATCACTTTGCACATACTGTACTTCAAGCTGGTACATTCCTCCAACAGAAAAAGAATTCATTATGAATATTCTCAAGGCTCCTTAAAATTTTATAAACAAAGCAACTGCTACTAGAAAGAAAACCACAGTGAGGAACAAGATAGGTTCCTCAGTTGGCACACTTCGGATGAGAAAGAGAATCAAAAGATAGGTTTCCCAATCTTTTCATTTTAGGGAGTTTCATTTAGCAGTAACCCCTGACCCTTATTTTAGGCAAGGAATGATCTTTAGATCACCAATGTCACTTTAAGCAGTGTAATCCAAGAAACAAAGTCACAGTAAACATTAAGAAAGGAAAAATCTTCCAAACTGGAACTATTAATTAGGCACATCCCAACCCAATCCAAAAAAACCCAACTAACAACAAACAAAAAAACCCAACCAAACAAAAAAATCCCCATAGCAAATCAACAAAAAACCTCCCCAAACCAACCCCAACAAACCAATAACCAACCAAACAAAAAAAAGCCCCAAGGAACAAGCAAGAACATTCTCTCTCCACCCTCAAATCCCAGCTACTGCTTTCACTGAAGACCCATTGGGGTATGGCATAAGAGCAGGAGCTCTTGAATGCTTTTAAAAGCACAGCTTTGGAGGAGCACAGATGTCTTGCAAGAAAATATGCAAGTAAGAAGTCAGTAGATCTAATTTTCTTTTGTTCTTACAAGGGATAGGATTTAGTCTCTGTGAGAAAGCAGTTACTTTTTCTTACTTCTATGTACCAAAAAACACTTAAAGAGCCAGAAGCTTGAGACCAGTAACTGAGATCTGTAATTTGTACTTGCTTTTAAAAGATAACGTCAGTATACCTACCATGGCAAAATGAATGGCAATTCAATCCAGATTCTTAACAGCTGAAAGTTATATTTTACTTTGAGCATTACTCAATGGTTCTTCTGACCATTTTCAGTATGCCAAAGCTAGGGTATTTATAGGGTATACGTTATTAACTATAAATGCAAACCAAACATTTCTGTGCTGTGACCTGCATTGTTCTGGAAGTTTTCACTCTCCTTAGACTTCTGCTGCTTTGCTAAAATGATCCATCACCAACACATTTTTTTCCTATGGGGGAATGTACTGCAAGGCTCACATGACATTTCCAATGGGTTACTGCTTTCCAGCGAGCTGAGTTTAAGATCACTGTTCCTTATGGGGAAATAAAGTTAAATTTTTCTTACCATTTTCATCTACAGCAAGTACACTTGCTCCCTTCCCTAAAAGCTCTTGAACTACAACCGTTAGTCCATTCCGAGCAGCAACATGCAGAGGTCTGTGAAGACAAGCAAACTCTTATATAAACCTTAGAAAAAGATATTAAGATAGGTAGCTTGTATCTAGTTAAATGAATATCAAAGTACTTATACTTTTATGTTATTTACACATTATATAAATATTGTAGATATAACAATTCAAACAGGAAAACCAGCAAAACTCTTCTCACTGCCAAGAAGCTCTACAATAACAACTGCACGTTTTCTTCTTTTTATGGTACCACACAGTGGGGAAGTACCTACTAGAAAAGATCTGCCTGCTTGTGGAATTTATCATGTTAAGAAGACCCTCCTGTTGATAAATCCTTCGCTGAACTCTTGTAACAGATATTGTCACATCTGAGAGTTACTGCACATCTCTGGCAATAATCATTAGCATACCAACAGCACAATGGTAGTCATACTCTATTGCACATAAATGCTTTGCAGAAGCATTTCATCTTTCTTTTAGAAACTACTATATCCCATTGTGACTAGAGATTAAAAAATATTTTAAGTATAATGCATGAAGCAAGAAAAGCAGATTACTTTTCAAAACCTGAAACTATTCACCATAACTCCATTTTGACTTGATCTATCAAGAAAAATGTAGCTTTACCTCCAATATTCTAACTGTACCTTTTTCAAATGCAACAGTTTTTCAGCATTGGTTCCCACTGATTTAAAACCCTACCACCACCCAGCAGGAACGGAATAATCAGCTTACTTCCCTTCTGCTTTATACTGCTCTTCATTCATTTTGAGATTCTTAAAATTGCCGGAACTAAGTGTGACCTATATTTTGATTTGGAAACAAGTGACTGACTTAGAGACCAGAAACGCAAAAGATACAAATGGGAGCAGTGGTATCCATGGTGCTTATATTAAAGTATTGAAATTCAAGAACCACTGCACACCACATATATACGGAAAAATGTACTGTAATTAAAATAATTTTAATATAGAGGCCAACAATTTTATATGCTTATCTTGCCACAAAGAAGGACGCTCTTTAAGCTGATTAGAAAGCCAGTTTAGTTACTAAAACACATTTGTTAAACCAGTAATATTTTAAACAATGTTAAAATCTTGCAATTTATATAAACATTTCATGGAGGTGTGAATATGTACCTAGTTTTCCCCGACATTCCTTGATCAGACTATATGAGCCAAGGCATGTGGGTGGAATTACATGAGCCTGTGGTAGCATACTTTCCCACTTCTGTTCCCATCTCATTATTGCTTTCTCTCTCTTCTCTCAGACAATCTTGCTTAGAGCTTGAAATGAGGCAATCAATACCTTTCCTGCCTTCTGGTTATTTCATGCTGCTTGAGGTATGTTATGGTGAGCAGCAAGTGCAGAGGAAAAAGTCTTAACTCCTTAGTTCAAGCAGATTTCTGGGAATAGTTGGAAGAACTGCGGGAGTTTGAACATTATGCATTCCAGAAGTGATGTAAGGCCAGAAAAATACATGAGTTGCTTACAAGTTCCAGTAATAATAAATTACTGTTTGTTATTTTTATAAAAATAACAAATTTGTTATTTTTATTTCTAAATGGTCTGTGAAAGCATTATTATAGCAGTCTAACAACTCATGTACATAACTCAGCTACATATCAAGTGTCAAATACTGCCTGTAACACAAACACATTCAGAGTCATTTTAATAGCTCATCCTGACATATATTCCTTAGTATGACAGACCACTATGTTTTTAAGTTTTCTGTATGATTGTGCTAACAAATAGGCTTACTTCTACTTTAGAGACCTTCACAAAGTGTTAAGAATACTGTATTAACTTAATTAGCTACCTTTGAAGAGAAAAATCTTAGTGTGCCTCGAATGAGTTGTAAACTGAAAAGAGTTTTAACTGAAAAAATGTGCTAATTTATAAACCAGGAAAATACTGGTTTACAGTTTTCACTTCAAGTTGGTTCAACTCTTGGTACTTACTAAGCAACTAAAATTCAACCAATTCAGAAAAAAAAATTCTGAAAAAATATTCCTCTATGAACAAGATACACTAACAGAACTCATCTGTAAAACACACTTATTGCTGATACGTACGTTTGCAAGGCTGCATTGGTGGCATTGATGAGGTTTCTGTCCGTAATCTTCTCCAGTATTAACAAGGCACTAGTTTCATGACCCTTAATACAGAACAAACATCTGTCATATAACAAATACTCTTCAAAAATTGCTTTGGATGCCTTTTAAAATTAACAAGTTAGTATTTGCTCGATAACATTCAGCACTGGTGAGTCAGACTACATACACACCTTGCTGCAAGCCAAATGGAGTGCTGTGTTCTTAGAACTGTCTTGCAAAGTCAGATCAGCCTTAGCACTGCTAACCAGCACCTCTGGGGAAATAAAAGATCTGCCTTAATGTCTTACATTTGTGCAAAATGAAAACATAATTTTGACAAAATATATCCACAAGAACACTAACTATAAGGCAGTTTTACCCATAGTAAGATTAACAAATGTAAGGGCAGAAATATGTAAAGCTTTCTCTTTACCAACTGTATTTGTCTGTCCATTTTCTGCAGCCATCATTAAAGGTGTTTTCCCAGAAGAATCTACAGCATTTACTTGAGCATTGTGGCTGAGCAGAAGCTGTAGACACTCAACATGATCTGTAAAAGCTGCTGCATGAAGAGGAGTTCTACAACAGATCAAAAGACAATATAGCCATGTTCAGCCATCCTTTCTACCGTATTTAAAATGGCATCTGACTTCATCCTGCAGATACAAAAGACTGGGCAGTCCCTCCCACTGATCCTTTGAAGTCATTATTGTTTAAGTTGTGACTGCTGTCTTCAGAAAGTCATCTTGAAATTACTCTATGTAGTTTGTAACATACAGATATCATCTGATTCAGAAAAAATAATATATATATGATACTACCTACCAAGTGATACAATTTAAAACATGCTCAAACTTGCCTATTCCAGCCCAAACCAGCATAATCATAAAAAGCCAATTCAAGTTTATTGAATCAGAACAGGATTTTTAAAAATCTAAAATTTATTTCTCGTATAGAATAAAAATAAAATCTTCAAAGAATTAGAAGAGTGGAAGAGGGAATTAACCTAAGTAGCAAGTACAACCTCCCCCCCAGTTATTATAGAATATTCTTCCACTGTGCAATTACACTCTTACCTTCCTTTTGAATCTGTTGAATTTACAATACCAGCACCTAGTGTATCAATTAACATTTCTGCAGCACCCTCATTGTCATTTATCCTACAATGAATTAAACAGGCTGTTATTTACAGAATGATAAATCTTTTGTTAAATACAGCAATGAAATCAATAAAGAATAATTTTGCGCTTCCTTACACAGCACAATGCAATGGGCTGAAAGAATTTCCTTCCATTTTCTGGAAAATCTCCTGTTCCAGGAGGAGCTCTACACAACTGTCATGACCTAAAGCAAATAGAAGAGTTAGGTATTAAAAGAAAAGGAAAAGGTCTATTTATGGATTACAACAAAAATTATGTATCTGAATCAGATTAAGCATGCAGTATTTTATTTGAAAGCTTCAAAGACACACTGGTTATGTTTGATAGGACTACATTTAGGAACATTTTTAGAATCCTGAAAATCAAACACTTAACACTGTAAACTTTGGGAAATTTAGAAGGGCTGTCATGCTGTCTGAGGAACATCCAGAACAGCTTTTTTTTTGCCTATCAAGGTTGATTTGAAGCATGTTTAAAAAATGATTTAATCTGAAACAATTCCTCCCATCCCTGTGAAGGTTATTTTCCTGGTGATGTGAGACACTTCTATTCACAGGTATTATGCTTAATTTCTTGAAAGAATCCTTGAGGCATAAAATTAAGCAGGCAGTTCATTACAAAAATGTAGTCCAAAAATAAACACCTCATGTTATGGATTAGATGTTAATTAATTCCCCCTCAAGATATCATGTCCATCATCTTGTCACATTGACTAATATAAACTGAAAAAGGACAGATTTTATATGTTGCTTTTGTAAGTAGTAATAATTTCTATCTCACTGTCAATGAGCACATTTAGACCTGTACTTTAACTTGAATGCACCTTACCATTATAGCAGGCCCAATGCAGTGATGTATAGCCATGATTGTCTGCTATTGCAGGTACTGCATCCGCAGATGCAGCTGACTGCAGGAGAGCTCCTAGAACACCTATATGTCCACATGCAGCTGACAAATGTATAGGGGTTCGTCCCCTACAGTCTCGTAATAAGGACTTAGCACCATGTTGAAGCAATGCTTCCACACACTCCTCGTGCCCAGTAACTGCCTACGAGAGACAGACAGGTAACACCAATTTTGCAAATATTCGTATTATAAGAGCAACAGTGTACAACTAAAGCAAGCAAATGTCAGGTAAATTGTTACATTTTCAGGTAATAACAAAATAAGCACAGGCTTTTTTTTTTTTATTCCTAGAATCAGCCATTCTGTTGGAAAAATATTATAATATCGATGACAGAGTAATTTCTTGGAATAATACTCAATGAACTGCTGATCTCCAGGGCTCATTTAATTCTCTTATCTGGCAGAGACTATAAACAACCAGTATTTGGCATATGGCATGCATCATCCTTTTCTTTCTCCTGTTAACACTAACCCCCACCCCGTAACAAGCAGCTGTACTCTGTGACCTCTCCAGTCTACACTTCACAGCAAGATTAAGAGACTCCATGAGTCCAAAACAATTCTGATGGTATGTAGCAAATAGGCAAAAGCCAGACTTTTGAAAGCAACTAAAAAGACAATTAAAACCTAATAGCAGCAAGATGAGAATAATGAGAAATTCATTAACACTACATACTAAGTCTTTATTTGAAATTAATACTTATAAAACTGGAAAGGACAGAAAAGGAATATTCTCTTACCCCTCTATGTAATGCTGTCCTTCCCCACTTATCTTTGGCATCTACATTTGCTCCTTTGTTAAGGAGTGAATAAACACAGTCAGTGTGCCCATTGAGAACTGACAACATCAGAGGAGTCCTAAGCAGAGAGTAAAATAAAGTGTAATCTACATGGAAATTAACAGGCTAGCATTCAGCTGAAATATCACAATCACTACCTTTCTGGCCAATACTGTTAACATTTACATCATCAGTGATCTTCTCTAGCACTACCTTCACTCCAAGAACGACACTTGTATTTCCCTTTTTAGATTCCAGAAAATAAATATCCCTGTATCAGAAGGCCTGATTAAGGTACTAGAATCCATTTTTCCAGCATATAAGACACATTTTAGTTTCCTCCCAACTGGAGTATTTTTCACCACCAGTATTATGGTTATTGCAAAATACACATTCACATTTGTCCTAGTTGAAGTATCTATTTATTAAATATCTATTTATGAAATATCTATTTATTAAAGTAATCAATTAAAAATCACCAATGTAAAATGTTCAGGTTTTCCTTTTATAAAATGCAGTAACTTGTGAAGAACAGAATGTGTACAGTTTAAACTCACTGTCCATTTCCATCTTGAATGTCCACTGCGTTCTGTGGCTCTGCATTTCCTATCAATAGCCGCAAACATTCTGAATGACCATTGGTAGCTGTAAAACATCACAAAAATATGAGTTTTACATTAACTGCTTTTGAGTATACAGCTCAAACAGAACGGTAACCTGCTCTGACTAAAGCCCCTTAGCTTGACAACCCACTGTACAGCTTTAGCATTGATAGGCCTTCAATTAAAAAAGCCAAAAACCCCTCTCCCTCCAAAAAAAGAAAGAAATGAACATGAGAAAATGATTTCAAAAATCTGGCATTCTAAACTGTATAGTATTAAAAGTAATTGATTCCAACTGTCAATTGCCAATAGGTATTTATTTTTTACATATAAATGAGGTTGCACACATTAACCATAATTAGAATATATGCTTATGCAACATCCACAAGAAGGAGTAATTAAATACAGTAATTAACATAACTTTTGCTTGTTTTAAGACCCAGGTGAACACATAGCTAGCCAATCCTACACAATTTTGTTAGCGAGTGTAGCATTTGCATAGTTATGAAATATTAACTGAAACCACATTTAGAAAGAGGGGAAGGAAATGTAACGCATATAAGTAATTAACCAAGCAGTTAAAAAAAAAAGGAAAAAGAAAAGAAACTAAGAATTGAGAAATCACATTTAAATGCAACTCATGAAAGATAAATGATTGCTTGTTGGAGGGGAAATTATTTCTGACATACAGCTGCTGTATTCAGTCCACATAACAACAGTGACAATTCATGTTTCTCTAGCTGACAGAAATGCCAGCAGAAGTTAGGAGAAGCTAAATCAAATCAAAGAATACAGCTTGTACTCATGGACAATAAATTAAGTGGTTAGAATGATGTTTTGTACATAATGCTCTTTTTACTGCCACATTTCTAAAATGCTGTAACTAAAAATATCAATTTAAATAAGCCTATTTTCTAAGAGGGGGAAAAAAAAAAAGAATATATCATGAATGCTAGACTTTGAGAAAAATAGGTTTATAGACATTTTCTAGGAAACCCAGCAAGAAAATATTGCAAAGGATTGCTGTTATTTTGAAAACACTCAGCAGTCATTTAAATCCTTGGAAAAAATCCAAAGGATAGTTTTCATGTCTCTTCTCAAGCTGGCAAAATTCTCCAAGACTCCAGTCCTATTTAGAAGCATTTTACTGCCAAGACAGGCAACACAATTCACATATCTAAATTTGGGCCTACAGTTTGGGCTGCGTGAAAGATGAGGAAACAGGAACATGTCACTGAGGCCTGTCAGCACAGCTAGCCTAGCTACTTGAATGGACGAGAACAGTGCACACTTCCAGAGGGCAGCGTGGAACAGTACTCCTGCAGCCAAAATGATTTATTGGGTTAATACTGTTTCGTACCTGCAATGTCCTTGTTACATCTTTCTCAGCACAGCATATACCTTAAAGTCATTGTACATTCTTAAACACCACTTCTTAGAACATTAATGAGACTGCTAAATACAAAGATGATCCACTTGAAAAGCCAAAAGTTTAGAGGTCAGTAGTTAGCACATACCTGCAGCATGTATTGGGGTCCTCTTTACAACATAATCTTTCACTAAGATTGATGCTCCCTGGTTAATGAGCACATCTACACATTCCACATGTCCCTTAAAGGCAGCAAGATCCAGTGGTGTCCTTCCATTATTATTCCTCACATCAAGGTCCAGCAGCGACTGTACCAGGACTTCCAGAGCTTGATGGTGGCCATGATAGGCCTACAAGAGTAAGAAAATGCTTCAGTTTTCCTGGCCTTCTCATTTTTCCCTTTCTTGCCAGGATTACAGAAATGAAACAGTGAAAGCTGTTCTATGAAGCAAGTTTGAAGTGATACGCAAAAACTGTCCTATATAGCTCATTCAGGAATAGTAGTACATACTTCTGCATTCAATTTATTGTTATTGATCTATTTAAAAAAAATAAATCAAGAATGAATAAACCTATGTCAACAACAGTCTGCAATCAGATGAGCTATCATCACTAAAGAATGAAATACTTACAGCTAAATGCAGTGGACTTATAGGTGCTCTGTTGTCAGAATCATTCAGCATGTCAGTACCTGATGTTTCCATTAGCTTAGCAGAGAGGGAAAGTCAGAGTAAGTGCAAAACCCCACTCATCTTTAAAAACATTCCGAATAATTGCCTCAGTTTCCAGTATACCCATATTGAAAAATAAAGGAAGAAAAACAAGAATAATACTATAGGATTACAGTTTCCTTAGGAATTCTAGATCTCCATCAATCTTTAAGAGTCTGAATTGCAATGACTGCAACCCCCCCATATTCATCTCCTAAGATCAGTTGTTTAATCTTGCATACCAATGCAATAATTAAAACAGAAACTAATCTAAAATGAAGCAGCCATATGAAATTATATAGATGAAATGCATACAAAGGGACAATAGGGACAGATGAGAACAGCTGTAGTGGGAAAAAAAACCCAAAACCAACCAAGCAAGCATTTAGATTACGTGAAAAGACGGCAAGAAAACAGTCTGAAAAGCCACAAGGTAGGATGTTTTTCTATTCTGAGAAATTGATTTCCGAAAGAGAACAAATGGACCCAAAAAAAGACACAAGCATTATAAAATAGGATGAAAATATCTGTGCATATAGATTTCTATTTGTTACTTTCACGTGTTGTAAAGTTCTAATTATTGCTCTTTCCAAGACCATATTTAAATTAGTACACTAGTAGAATTAGAATACTAAAAGCATTTGAAAAACACCAAATATATTCAGATCACTATGTTCTCGTTATCACACTTTCATGACATGGTCATATGAATGTTTAAGTGAAAAAATAAATAGCTTAAAAATAATTTTCTATTCTAAAATTCTGGATTGCAATTAAATCCAAATTGCAGCTGAAATGAAAGAATACATCTATGCACGGAAGGAATGGTGGAGTAAGTCTAAAAATAAACAGTATTTTAAAAATTACATGTTACAAACTATTTTAACAGTGAGAAATAATGCACACTTACAACATCTAGAGGCGTTTCGCTTGCAATCTGCAATTAAAAACATTTAGAATGCAGTTTGAATACATTTGAATATAAAAGTATAATTTGTACAAAAACACTAAGTTGCATAACACAGAGAAGATAAAATTAGCATATCAAATAACATACACAGTTTTACAAAGGGGTTATTAAAAAAACTACCCGAGGCTTTATTATCTAAAATGCTATTATGTGGCCATTAGTTTCTGTCACTATGCGAACTATTTTGAAAGGCACCCTTACTTTACAGGTTTTCCCTA